CTCCCAACTAGCTTTAAAGCAATACAATGAAACAGTTGTTAATCATTTAGATTTTTGTGAGATCTTAACCTCATGAGTTCTTCCATCATGTGTGAAGATTTAGTACAGCAGAGGTGAATGTCTAATGTATGAAAGAGATTGTGATTAATCTTATTTATTTCTGCCTCCAAACCATTTTTTTCCTTGCAAAGACACATAGAAGTCTCACTCTTAAATTTAGGCAAAAAAAAAAAAATTGACAAATGAAAACTTAACTTTTTTTTTTTTTTCTAATTAGGAGCCTGAAACATGAAATAAACCTGAGCTCAGTCTTTTACATTAATGTTGATCACTAATAGGCATTACAATAAACATCTATAAGAAAATCCTGTGCTTTGAGGACCTTATTAGGCCCTCGGCATTTCTGTATGTCTTTACTACACTTTTAGGAACTTACCTCTTTTTCACATGCAAACTGTTTTATTTTTTGAGGTAGATCTTCTCATTTTCTGTAGATTATTGGATTCTTGCATTACTTCCCCTTTAGGAGATGCACTTGTCTTTGATTCTTGCTTGTTTGTTCCTGGTATCTGGAGGTCTGATATCAGTATTAAATGGTTTCTCATTTCTGTTGAAATGCGTCAGCCACTTTTGGTTGACACATTTCAGTTGAAATGTCAGTGTCAACTGGTTTTTGACTTAAGAGGTAAATATTTACACTGAGACAACCAGCACTGGTGTGACCAACCCAGATGTCAGTATCTGCATTGCTGCTTTAGTGTCAGATGTTGCAGCTGAACAAGTTCTCTGCAGAAAACCACAAAGGTGGCAGAGTTGGAAGTCTGAGAAGTCATTGTGCTTCTTAGAAAAAAATGGGGTTTTTTTGTAGAAAATACGCAGTTTGACTATCAAGAAAGCAGTTGTCACCAGATGGGCTCTTTTCAGATCACTACTACATTGCTATAGCAGATATCAATAAAATATTATCTATTATCTTTGATAGCAAAGTAAATACTAGGCTTCTAACAAAGTTCAGCCATGGAAAGCAAAAAGTTTCATGGATATGTCAAAGCATTACTTCATTTGCAATCCATTGTCCTGGCTTAATGAGGCTGGGTTTGATGTTAACAGCAGCTTTTAAGAGTATTTCTTTTTCTTTTTAAAGACAGAAAAGAGTGTGTATTCCAGACGAAAACGGAAGCTGGGATTACTCTGAGTTATCATGGCAACTAGGAGATTCCTTTATTTAAATAATTTCAAATTTCAAACCCTGCTTTTTAGTGGCAGACTGATTCCCAGTTGTTAGTACTACCAAGAATACAACTGGGTTGGGTCTTTTGGAGTCCTATGTAGTCACCTAAAAGGTTTCCATACAGCATTTTAATTGAAGGAAGTCTCTGTACTGGTAATAGAGCTTTTCCACATCAAAGCCACGTAGGGGAGCTAGACCACATGATATTTCCTCCCAGGAGACAATGTGTTTCATCTTCAAGAGGCTGCAGAGTCACCAGCTAATCTTCACAGGGCCTTTGTGGTTGGCAGGTATTACTAAGTCAGCCTGGTTTAGATGCCTCCAGTCACCCACATTCAAAATGTGGACACTGAAACAGAGAAAAGGAGCAGGTTTTCCATTTTCAGACACTCAGTGAAAATCTGTGTTTGGTTCCTAAAGTGAAACACCTGATTCTGTATTTAGAGTTTCTGCTTGTGGAAGTGCTGGGTTGAATGAATTCCAAAAGGCTCTGTTAGCCTGCTGGAGCTCTCTTTCTAAATCTCTAAATCCAAAATCCAGAACATATTTTTTTGTCTGAACAGGGAAACAACTAGCTGTTGAAAATAATTTCTATTCAGGTCACCACCTGATCAGGATTTAATTTTTCCTTAATTACTTTTTGTCTTTTCTAACTGAACTAGTGCTCTGTTCTCACAAGCCCAGACATTTGATTCCTGGCCTCGTGCGTTGCAGTATCCCGTTTGTTGCTGGTGTTTTGGATTACCTAGCGTTCGATGTAATGGGTCAACTGCCCTGACTAAAGGGGGAATTCCAGTGGTGATTCCATTGTCTGCACTGGGGTTTGGTTGGCACACACAATTTTTATAATGTCTTAACTCTTAATTATTATCATTGAAATAAATATGCTTAGATTATTATATAACAGAGAGAGTTTTTTCTTCTGTCAGGTGTCTGCTGGAGTGCCTCCAGAAGGGGATCAGAATGGCCTCATGGGGAGAGTGGATGAAGGCGTGGATGAATTTTTCACTAAGAAAGTGACAAAAATGGATTCAAAGTAAGTTCAAATTAAATTTAAAAAAAAAAAAGTTTTTAAAAAAATCATTCTGATATCTGGGCAAGTAGCACTTCTAAGTTGTATTTGACTTCTGTTCCAAATATCCAGAGTTGCTGTTGTCAAAGTCAGAAAATACCTTAGGAGTCAAGACATTGTGAATTCAATTACCCTTCCTTAAAAATGACTACTTCAAAATAAATTACTTTAATATACCATGTGGGGGGATTATTGACTAGTGTGTATTTTTGTAATTCACTTGACTTCATTTGCCCTTCAGTGGAGCTCATTAGAGCTGGAGCAGAGCTGAGTATTGGTTGAGGCTCTCATCTCCAGTGCTTGTAGTATACACCGGTGTCTCTGTCTACTGTGCTGTTGGCCACAGTGTTTTGATAAATGACAGTAGATTTACATTGTTTTAGAAACATGTTAAAGGCATGTCTGACCGATTTGCAGTATTCCAGATTTAGGCAATACATTCATCTGAAAGATAGGTCTCCTTCAGCTTTGTATTAGGATTATACAGCATATAAAATTGCTTTGTAGCTGGTTGTATATTTACAGAACTATGCACATACACACACACAGAAATACTTACATGAATAAATGAGAAAGCTAGGACAATTTCCAGACAACTTGAAATGACCTCTTCTGTGCTGTGTGTGACATCTGTTAAGGAAAATGGTAGGTGTTAACTGTTGGATAGGTGTGGCAGGGGAAGCAAATGCTTTAAAGTCACTGTGAGTTATAAATATCTATAGTGACATGTGAGGCCATGTGTGATATACTATGTGTAGGGGTAAAATTATGGTAGCTTTGAAAAATGGATTAGGCATGCTAAGTTCAAAGTGTTCGCAGACTTCTGCATTCTCCTGTGCTTCTCCTGGGTGCCTGCCAGCTGCTCATTTCAGATGTCCCTGTGAACTTGTAATATCTCTGTGTGCCCATCCCTAGCCATGCCCATGGCTAAGGATCTTTGCTCAATTTGCTGCACTGGTGGCCTTCTCTCCAGTTGAGGTGCTTATATGCAGATGTGTTGTGTGTCCATCTTTCCCCTCAAGTGTGAATACCCTGCTCATAAGATGCCTGTAGAAAATCTTACCGGCAGGTGGATTGTTCTGAGGTTGGTTTTGGTTGGGTTTATTTTGTTTGTTATTTTTGGTTTGGGGTGATTATGGTTTTGGGGGGGTTTTTTTTTGAGGATGAGTATCTGCACTATAAACTTGACCTCTTTGTGTTCCTTATTGAGGTAAGGTGGCTGTGCCAGCTAGTTTCTATTTCAAGCAGGACCCTTAAGGGACAAGATCCCCCAAAAGCTGTGTGAATCATGTGCCTGGATCAGTTGTTCTCTTTTAACTAATGTGCAGATACAAACTGGAGGCAGTGCACTCTGGAAACAGAGCAGAGTGAAATCGTATGTCCATAGACAGCTTGGGCAGAGCTCCACTGAAGCAACACCTTGCTGGTGTTGGAAACAGCTGGGTGCCCAGTGCAGATGAAATGGCTGCCTCTCTTCGTTATACCATGCATGAAGCCAGAACAGGAATTCTCAGGACAGTGTGATCAATGTTAATTGTCCAGTTTTTAATTTAGAGAGACCAGCTAATGACTGCACCTAGGGTAACATATGAATCATACAAAAGGTTGGCTTTGCCCAGGAGATGTCATTAGGTACTGTTTAAAAGAGAGAGGAGGGGAGTAGAGAAGAGTTTAAAATGTCTGTGTCTTTTATTAGGAAACCATCAACTAAAAGTTCAGACAGCAGTGAGCCCTGTGAAGCAGGTGATGAGAAGAAGAAAAGGGACTCAAGGAAGAGTGGCTTCCTTAACTTAATCAAATCAAGAGGTTCCAAATCTGAACGTCCCCAGACTGTGCTGGTGGCAGAGGAGCCTTCTTCGCCCAAGGTTGCTACAAAAAGTCCAGCTGTGGACACAAGCAAGAAAGAGGTAAAACCTGCAGAGCAGAATGGTGGTGCAGAGCGGTCCGAGGAGTTAAAGACACCAGATTCACTGGAGGAAGCACAGCCAGATGATGCTGCAAAAGCTGAGAGGGGTGACAGCAAAGGAAGCCCACAAGGAGGCCGGAGGTATGGCGTGCAGGTGATGGGCAGTGGACTTCTCGCAGAAATGAAAGCCAAGCAGGAGAAGAGAGCAGCCTCTGCTCAGAAGGTGAAGGCAATTTGATTTCTCTTGAGTTGTTGAAAAAAATAGCAAGAGCTACGTGTCTTCAGGGGAGGGGGATTGGGTGTACAAGGGTTGGTGGCTGGGGCTTGACACATCAGTCTTGCTTTCCACCAGGGATTCTGGTGTTCCTGCAAGAGGATTGCTCTCTGCTATTCTGTTTGAACATTAATATCCTGGCCAAGGGCTAGGCTGCACATGTGGAGCAGGAGAAGGCACCCTTAATCCTGCACTTTCTCTCTTCTTGAGGAGGAGGTGATACCACCTCTTGCACTTGATGTCTAGCCATCACAAGCACAGCAGTTGGCAAGTCATTGTTTGCATGTATTACGGAGTAATTTTTGGGTGACTAGTAAGCACAGCTTGGATGTCTCCACTGTATATGGTGTGTGGTTTGCTCATGGGTAATGGAAACATGCTTTACAAAAGGTAAAGCTGGGACAGACTTCTTACTGTGTGTCCCCTGCACACTGGTACCTCAGGTGTTTGGCAGAGTTAACTACAGTGGTAACTATCTGTACTCTTCTCTTTTGGAAGATAATGTAGAAAGGTGGAGAGATGTACTGTATTTTAAAGTATATATTCCATGCAGAGAAGTAAATCTGACTTCCAGACACTGTTTACAGCTATTCAACTTACACTTTTCTTGTTGCATTTTTTTATTTTTAAGTTCTTTTGTACAACACAGAATTATTTTTATGCCTTTGATTTTTGTAATTCAAATACTAACGCTCAAAGAAAATAAGCCTACATTAAAAAAAAAAAATTGATTCCCAGTTAGCTGTCTGGATTCCCTTCACTTTCTCCTCTGTTAAGTGCTTATGCTGGGCTGGAACGCTGCTTCACTTCGCAGACGTGCAGAGTGGAATATCCTTGGGTTGCTCCAAAGCATTTGTGCTGACCTATTTTGCCTGTTGCCCATTTGCCATTGAACTTCCCCCATTATCTTCCCCTGCTTCCTCCCAGCTGCAGTTGGCATGTTGTAAAATTACCAAAGGATCAGCCTTTTTTTCACTCCTCTCTTCCTCTTCAGCATTGTGAAACCACCACAAACATGCAGGACACTCAAATGCTATCCATTTCCCACCATTACCCCCCATAATTTGGAAGGTGTTACCTTGTGACAAAGCTCATCTACAAGCTTTGCTGTGTTTTCCTTCCTTTAACACATTGCAGAATTGTCTTGCTGTGACCAAGCAAGGCACCCGAAGTTCATTTTTTACCTTTCTTCATAGTGCTTCACATGATGTCTAAACTATTCCTACAGATGCTGGAGTCTTGTAGTGGGCACATTCAAATTAACACGGTAGTCTATGACTGATTAAAGGGATCTTCAGCTTAAAAACAGTTTTCCTAAAGAAATTACCAGTTCCCACCTTTCTCATTGGTGCTGAGTAGTCTCATTGATTTCTAAAACATGAAGTTTCCAAGTAAAATGACACAAGATTTTGCTTAAGAGTGTTATGCTCTGCCTTTGACTAACGAAATACCAAGCTACTGCAAATTATATAAATTTGTACAACTGCATAAATTGTGTGTGTGCTTGGTGCTCTTCAGGTTCTTAACACTGGTCATCTGTTTGTCAGATCTGGAATGATATGAGTGAGGTCGAATATTAGCATGTGTGACTTTTTTTTAAGTGGGGACAGTAAAAGTCCTCTGATGAGCTTTTGTAGCATTGGCTGAAAACTTGAATTTCATCTATCAAAAATAAAAATTGTTGCGTTTTCCCAATATTTTTTTCCACCCCTTGCTTTTTTACTGTTATAAAAGGTTAGTACCCCTCTTCTTTCAGGCTTAATCTTTTTTTTTTATTAGATTTTGTAAAAATTGGTATTTATGGATTGCAAAAGTAGGTTTTTTTTTTTTTTTTTTTTTTTGAGTGACAGGAAGACTGAATTGCAATAGGAATCTGTACACAGCAGGGCACTGAGTTATCAATCCTTAATGTTGTCCAGATCATACACAATTGAACTGCTGCTCAAAAGAATTTTTCACATCCTCCATCCTAGATTGCAATATCAAATAATTTAGTTTTGCACTTTTATTCATGATATTCATGAAGACGAAAATCATACAATATCCTGATGGTTGAGCTACAGAAGACAGCATCCTACTGCTGTTACACTGTTTGGGATGGGTATGACATAAACTTCCCTACCATCTTCAGCTTTATCAGAGTTCCAGGATGATAGAAAATTGTATTTTCCTTTAAGGTACAGATGGCTGCTTATACTCTGAGCTATTTTATGTGAAAACAGAACCAGAAGGAATTTACTATTTCATTCATACCCTGCCACAGTCTTGTTAGATACAAGTGACGAGCAGGTGCACAGTAGATGGAAAGATAGTAAATGCTTTTTTGTTTTCTGTTGGTTGGAATACAGCGTGCAAATTGTCGTTAATGGTACAGATGAGTGTTTGCAGATTAGTGCTGCCGCTTGGCAAACGTAAAAAAGATCTTTTAGCTCCATCTAGTGTTTACAGACTGAATTTTTAAATACCTCGAGCAAGACCTATGAGCAGAGCAACATCATCTGCAACCTGATTCTTTGCTTTAGATGGCACCCAACTCAGCAGTGTTTCCCAGCCTGGCATGAATTCCTATTAAAAGTAGAGCCTCGTCATTATTTATCTGCATGATAAATTCACCTGCATTTCTCTGATGTGATTGACAGCTTCTCAGAGTAAATTTTTGCAGCAAGTGTTTAGTGTTGTCTTGGGACCATAGGCAGTTTGTAATGTGTAACCAAACATGCTAACATCCTAATTGCATTTTCAAGTACTACACTAATAGATACCAGCACTGGCTTTTGAACTTGTCTCTCTGTACATGGTCATATTTCCCCAGCTGTCCTGTAACCAGGGAGGGAGGAAGGAGCTACAGTGAAATTAATTTTCATATTGTCATCCAGCTCTCTTCAAAGTAATTTACTGAGGCTAAGTGTTATGCATATATCTTCAATATTTACATAGGAAAATTAGAATTTTGGTGAAAATTTATGAGAATTCACATTCCATGTAGAAATTGTTCGTAAATTCAGTTCTCAAAGCTTTTGTTTCCAGGGTGTGGAAGAAAAATACAGTAAGTGGAGAGTGATATTCCCTTCAAAAATATATAGCCAAGACAACCTTACAAAGAAACACGTGGCTTTAGGAGGTAGAGGGGTGAGAATTTAGCCAAAATATCAATGACAGTCAAGAAAAAAAAACCTGAGTTTTCGTCCAGTGGTACGAAGCATAATGTTCCTGCTGGCTTTGGAGGGGACTTTGTTTTGTCTGTACAGGCACCGTAGATTAGCATTCTGGCCCTATAAGTCATTGCATTTCTAGAGTGCTTCTACCAGAAGACTTTGTTGTTTGGCTTACACGTGCTTTTTAACATACAGATTATTTTACACTTGAAACCTGTAGAAATATAATCCCTTAGAGTGGATAGTTATATCTGTATCGAGGTAGTTTTACAGTACAGGAAGTTTAATGACAATTGCAATAGCATCCTCCTTAATGTGGTATGCCATTTTAAGTGCACATTGGTACTTAGTGGAGAGGTCAGGAGGTAGCATTACTGTGCCAGGTCTTACACGGGAAGGGCAGGCACTTAGCATCTCCATGCTTTTCTTTGTTGTATTAAAAAGAGGCTTTGTTTCAGGAGCTGTGAGGTTACATGAGCAAAATTGAGGTATTGGTAAATCTGTGAGGCCAGTCACACTGTTTTCTGCATTGATCCCCAAAATTTACTTCTCCTGAAATGCCTGTGTTGAATTACTACCATGGGGGAAAGATGCCTGACCAGCATGGATATTCAGAGATCATTCCTTTATGTTTATATTTGAAATACTATTTTCACTCTAAATCTGTCAATTTTTCTATAATTAGTATGTGCTGCTGCTACTTGTAAGCATTCTCTTCCTTCCCACATTTCCTGTTGTCCACTTTTTGTCTACGTGCTGTACACAGGAGTCTTTAGATAGTAAACTCCAAAGGGCAGTGATCATGTTTGATGTATGCTGCGTGGCATGTGGTGGAGGTTTCGGAATGGTATGGGACAGTCAGATCCCAGCACAAGTCATGCAGAGTTGGTGTTGGAGTAGTAGTAGGAGTGTCCTAAACCTGTCAGCTTGACTTATGTGTGGGTGTATAACCAAATGCAGTGGTCATCAGCACAAACCATTTGCTTTAAGTCATTTGCCACACTGTCTCAAAATAGTAAATCAAGATCAAGACTGAAGCTGCCTCCAAAAGTCTATCCTCACTTTTTTAGTTTCAAAAAAATCTCACTTTTTTGCCTAGCCTTATCTTTATAAGACTTTATCTTATAGTATATCCTTCACTTATTTATATTCACATTTTGCATCCTCCCATTTATCCCTCCCCTTGAGCTTTGGTAGCAGGTAAGGCAGTGAAAGGAGGCTGGTTCTTTTACAAGCACATCGGCTGCGTATCTAAACTTCTGGTGAACACGGAGGTTTCAAGCTCGCTTCGGCTAGACCTATGATATGGCAAATGTCTTTGCACCTTTTCTTTTGAGGCCAGGTTGTTAGGAAAGCTGTTCTTGAGAACAGAAGACTTGGTAAAATATCAGCACATAAACAAGAGGCCCCCTTTCTTTAGAGGTGCTGAGCATCCAGCAGCCCTTGTGATGGATAGCTTTAAACACCTTTCAAAAAGTAAGGTCTCTTTGTTTTTAAAGCAATCCTGTAAATATGTGGCCACTGCTGCAGTTGTTAGTTTATCTAAAATAAAAAGTTATTGTATTTGGAAGAGCATGTGATCCATTCAGCAGTCTTACATTCAAAATCTAGATCTTCAGAAAAAGACTTTTTATTTTAAACCTAAACAAATAATTTTTAAATAGAGAGCTACCTTTGGAGAAAAGACTGTTTCCAACTAGCACCTTTAGTTTCAACTCCTGTACGTTAGCAGACCTGTCACTTAGGAGGCAGAGTGTCATTGCAGCTTTGCTAGGTGTGTGTCAATATTAGTTATCAAACCAGTGTTGTTTTCTTCCTACTTAGATATCCAAGACCTGGAAGAGAAACAAGGAGAGAGAATCTACTGTTTATTACTATCACTGCTTCCTCTGCCTTATGACTTCCAAAATAGAGCTTTTTCTAACAGAACCACTGAGTTGTATTAACTGCAGATATATTATTAATATGGGAGCTTTTCTCACTCTTTCAGAAACTTGGGAATGACACAACTCCCAGAGAGTCTTTTGACACGGCGATGAGCTCAGAACGACTGGATGGAAGTGGTACAGGTACATTTTGATTTTCTTGATATAAACTCTTTCTAGAAAATACAAAGTGCCTAACCTCAAAATTTCACTTCCCTCTCCAGATTGTGTGCGTACAGTTGCTTAAGCAAAATATGAGCCTATGCTAAGTGGAAAGGATTAGAAACAAAGCTCACTTTTTGTACTGTGTTTGGCAGCACTTTTCATGAAGTCAGCTCAAAGGATGAGTTAAGTAATGGGATTAGCAAAGCTGAAGCCAGGAGCCAGCAAAAATGTCTGCATGAAGAATTGAAACTCCTGAATACACCTGATGACTTAAACATGACCAATTTATAATGTTTATAGTAGTCAGTGCAGGTACCAGCTTGAGTTGTCCTGGTTTTTAGCTGTTAGAATAGACTTTTCATAGGCAATGGCAACTGGCTCTTCCTAGGGTTTAGCTGACTTGACTGAAGCCAGGGCTCTTTGCAAAGCTGTGGACGCTGCATGTGTGCACAAAATGACTCCTCATCACGTACAAAGAGGAGTCCAGCTTTGCAGTGTTTACAGCACCTATTCCCACTGCAGCTACTCCTGCTGAGCACTATCCAAGAGGGCCTTGTCAAGCTGTAGTTCTGAGCTCTGTTACAATGCAGCTGTCTGAGCACGAGATGAAGTGCTGGTCTCTATGCATACATGCAAACTTTTGGGACTGGCTGGTGAAATGTTCAAAAGGAGTTCAGCTCTGGTGGTTTGTGCACACTATGTTCACTGGACGAAAGGAGTGGGCTGAACCAGGAAATCCAGGTCTGATTTCTCAACAGTGGTGCTAGGTATCCTGCAAGCATGGCACGTAGGGTTGCCACAACATACAGAAAGAAGGCTGAGAAACCAGGCTGAAATCAAATCCAAATGTGGCCATCTTGGCTGAATGCTTCAGAAATGGATTTTGAGATTTTACACCTTTCTACAGCTAGTTTTAAAAGACAGCATATTCAGAGCATGCTGAACTCTATAAATCAGCGCTTTTAAAACCTGCTTATCTTTTGAGGAGGACCTTGTGTACTATATGTGTCTCCTGATGTCACCAAACTGAAGGCAGAGGAGCAAGAACAGTCTGTGCTCAGGGTGTTAGAGTAGCTGGGGGTGTCTGATCCCAGTTTTTCTCTGGTTCTTGTCTCTGTGTATGACACATTTCACCTTCCACCTCACTGCACTGTGCATGCCCCTTCCTTTTGGCCTCCAGCTGTCAGTTCTTTCTTTACCACTCTTGCTTGAGAGCTCCCCGAGGTTACCCTTCGCTGTTGCGACTACAGTTTCTCTTTGTTTTGGGTTAATTTATTTTAACTTACTGGGTTCTAATGGTATTAGCAGGCCTGGGGTTAGGAAGGCAGGAAAGAGAGTTAATAGAAAATTGATGCTGAAGGAGAGTGAGGGGGTTTTTTATTCTTTGCTTTACGTCTGGATATCGCCTGCTTTTTTGTATGCCTACACACACATGTGGAGCATGAAGGCCCATTGCATGCATGCAGACACAAACTCTCCCTGTCACACACTCACACAAACATGTGGGTCACACAACTCTCTATGCTTTCCTAGAGTTTAACTCCAGGTGGGCTGAAAAACAGTTACATAAGCTGGAAAAAGGTATTTGAGATTTGCTTGCAACAAACTGTATCAAGTCTCCTCCCTCCCACTGCCATTAAACTGTCTCTGCTCAGCACATTTGTAACAAGTAGGATTTCTGAACGGGAATAGCAGGTAGGTAGCTCAAGACAGCGTCTGTGGGCACATAGTTGGCTTTGCCAGGTACCAAGACTACCAGTCTGTGTTTCAGTTAGTCTATAATTCTCTTCTGAGAATAACGATGTGACAGTTGTTGAAACTCTCAAGCTAGCATAAAAGTTCCAAAATTATCTTTGTATCTGCTTCATAAAAGTCTTCAACCTTCTCAAAGCTGCAAAGAAAGAAAGTAGGTCAGGCATTTTGCTTGTCTACAACATAGTGTCCAGCAGGTTTTCTACCAACTTGCATGCACAGCTAGAGAGGACTGATTTATTGCTTGGAAGTCAGCACAGCTTTCTCTGTAAATATCTTGATCTTTGTTTGCGATGTGTAATATGCTGATAAACTTGCTAATGTATGGAAACCATAATCCATATACAGTGTTATTAGATAAATCAAAATATTATACAAAGAATATTTGACCTCAGCTAAGTTTCAAAATCTCCTCTAGAGCTTGCTAGAAGCAACAAATAACAAGAGGTAGCCTGCTGATCACACGTTTGGGATTTATTTTCTGGGCCAGGATTTCTCTGTTGATTTTGGATAGCCAGCCTTTTGTCTGTAGAGGCACAAAAGAGCCAAAGCCTGCCTTTTCCACTGATCCATCACTGCTTTCTCAGCAGGTAGGCTGTACCATCTGCTCCCAGAAATATGAAGGGAGTATAAGGTCCAGCCAGCCATCACCCCAAATACGTTAAAAAGAGGGACATGCCATCACCTCTGAGGCAATTGAATTATGAAGTGTAGCACGTGCAAAATTGATGGGTTTATATGCTTTTACTGTGATGATTTTGAATGAAATATTAACGATCCTCTTACACACTCACACTGCAATGCAGCAGTGACATGTGAGCTAATGATTATATTTTCCACACGAGCATGCCTGTGCACAGAGCGTTCTGTGTTGCAGGAGACTTTATTTTACCTGTCTCTTTATTCTAGTGCCTAAACTACAGCAGACCCTTCCAGAGAGTCGGTTTGCCTTGAATAAAGGTGACTCCATCTCAGCATCATCAGAAAAAAATTCAAAAGTTGAACCAAAGGCCGAAGCTGGTGCAAAAGCAAGAAGTTCTTCCAATACACCAACCAGCCCAAAACCTCCACTGCAGTCAACAAAGCCCAGCCTGGCAGGACGACCTACGGTGCCACAGAAACCACGCTCTGCCTCTCGTACTGGTGAGGAGCTCTTCTGGGCATTTGTTATCCCCAGCTGGGTACTTCTGAGTGATGTTTGTGTGGGCTGTGGAGGAGATGCCCATGGCCACATCCCAACAGAAGTTAAATGTAGAGGGTTCTTCAGTCACTGGCTCTTGACTTGCATCCTTCTTGCATCCACCTCCCTCTGCCCTAATTCAGATAAACTTATTAAAATGGTTTAATCTGTGATCTGCAATAGTAAAGCCTGAGGAGAAGCAATAGCAGTAGCAGCCAAGCTGTTTTAAGGTAGCCTGCTTTCACAAAGAGGAGAGCATACAAAACTACTTCAGCATCAAAGCCCTATTGTAGTAGCACTGGCAAAAATAACTATTTTCTCTAAATACCTGGCTCTAAATACTAAAGTCCTTGGGGTTTTCTGTCAGGCTACTCCTAGCCCCTCGAGCAAATGGCTGTTATTCTTAATAACTTACACAAACCAATTGTCTCTAGCTCTCTTTTTCCTTGTTTTATCTTTGTTTCTTTCCTTATTGCTTTTGACTGGAAATAATTGTAACTGTGCTTTTATAACCCTACAAGACTGACAGTTGAATGACTATTAACTTCTCCTGTGTCCTAACCTCATGCCCAGATATTATCTCAAGGTTTCCAATAGTAGGGAATATTTCACCAGATCTCCCATACATTTGTCTGTCTGCTATTTAATAGGCCAACATCACAACCTTCTCTTCTAAAAGTACAGCTACTGCAGTTGAAGGGAATTAAATGCTAGTTACTGACTCCCCCATTAGTTATGGCAAATACATCTTATTAATTGCTAATGACTGAAAAATGTGAGCAGAGCCATCTGTAAGAGCTCGCAGACCTCTAGGCTTTTCCCATACTTGCTGTTGACCTTAGAAAGAAGTAGTTTCTGGTGAGGGCAAGAGGACAGAGGGATATTAAAGCCTCCTCCCTGCCCTTGATGTGTAACCTGAACATTACTTATTCTACCCACTGGAGTGCAGAGACTCTTTTTCAAGTACAGAATCACCTTCAGGTTTTAGATGGCTTTAATTTTATTTTATTGGCCATTTTAGAAATGGTCATAAAAGTAAGAGGTGCTGGGTAAGATGCTCATGAAGATGAATACAATAGGAAAGCATGGCTTCTTTGGTGCTACTTGATCTGTAAAATAGGCAATGTGTTATCTCAAAATCTGAGGTATCAGAAAGACCTCAGCTATCTGTTTCTACCAGCTCCTGTCTCCTGCAGAGAAAGCATACTGTGGGTTTAACACAGAGAGTAATTAATATTTACTTGTAATAGGCCAGCTCCTCAGGTGGCAGTAAAAGCAGCAGCATCTCTGTTGCAGTCTAACTTCTAGTACTTGCAGCAACCTGCTGGCTGAGCACACCCAGGTGACACGATGAAGCAGCCAAGCAATGATCCTGTTTCTGGTCTGGCTCCTGATGTTGCTTCCAGCCGTGTGGCCAAACTAATGGTAGCAGATCTTTGCTAAGTAATCTGAGGGCAAAGGAGCACAGCTGGGACGTCCACAAATTATCAAAGACTGAAAATGGTTCCTCAATAAAGCACATAACAGCTTTAGTTCAGAAATATATAGCAGTGTTTGCCAAGCACTGTGCTCATCCATATGTTGATACCAAGCTTCCAAAGCAACTGGCCTTACAGGCACATCAAAAGTGTGGAGAAGGTCCAAGAATTGGTGTATCTGTTCAGATCGAGTTGTTTGGAAGGTCATCACTTTCCTGGGATGAAAGTAAAAGAATGACTACTTCGTGGTGACTCCTCAACAGAGAGATAAATTCATTCCCATTAATTTCCAGTATGCAACTGAATTACCTCATTGTACACATATGCAATGCAGGTGATACTCTTGAGTTCCTTTTTCCTTCTGTCAGTACTGATCTATCTTCCTAGTTCCTCTGTTGCGTACATATGCCACTGTTTACTCCTTGGGAAGCAAACATACCAGCCGTTTGACTGTAGCTGTACTTCCCTGCTGTCCAAACAAAGGCTGTCTAGTGTAAGACTGAAAAGGTCTTCCTGTAAGAACTGTAAAGATGGTAGCCAACTTGCCATATATAACACATATCCAGCCTTTTAGTGAAACAGGATATCCAGATGGTTTAGACTATGGATTTGAATTTAAGTTCCAGAAGACAAAGTATTTTTTCTATTTAGAAAATCTTTGCAGATGCTGTCATGTTATTTACTGGCAATTTATTCCTGGAAGTACAGAGTTCTGTAGGCTATTTATGAGATTTGTTTCCCTGGTTCACTTTTATGCCTTACAACTGTGAAACAGGACATCTAAATTGATCAGTTCATTATGTTTCAGGATAATAAAAATATAAATAGAATAAATATTTCCAAAAATCCATCCAAAATCATTTTCAGCTGTTCTTTTTAAATTGCATACTTCTGTCTTGCAGGAAATTCAGTTGGTCCCATCAGATTTGTATTTGTGCTACAATAGCAGTACATGTTAAAAATGCTGAAATTGAGATATTTGCTTTGGCTATTAAAATTCTTTCACCTGAATTGAGGGCCATCATGCATTCTCTTGACATAATGTAAATTCCTGAATCCTTTTTCTGACACAGATTCCAGCTGTTTCTTGTTTGTGTATTGTGTTGAGGTTTGGCCCAACATAACAGCACCGTTTCTGGAATCAACAGCGCAAATATAACTTCTCACCCCTTTTTTTTATGGTACTCCACAGAGGATGCTCCGGAGTCTCCCTCCGGCCCCAGTTCTCCAAAAGTTGCCCTGCTTCCACCTGTGCTGAAGAAAGTTCCTTCCGATAAAGAAAAGGATGGTCAGAGCAGCCCCACAGTCAGATCCTTTTCTCAAGAAGGTAGGAGTGTTGGTATAACTATTGTTCCAGCACACGCTGTCTTCTACTAGAATTCGATGTGTCATTGTCCCCTGATTTGTCTTCACTTGGAAGGGAAGAGGGTTATTCATTTGGAAGGAAAAAGAGCAAGGAAAGTGTATCTGGTCACCTGTTCCCCATCTCCTCCACCCATGGATTGGTGCTCTATATTTTCTTCCTTTGATCAAACCAAGTGAAAAATGAATCCCTTGGTATTTATAATGTAGCTGAGCAATTAAGACACTCTTGTGTATATTATGGTTTAGTTTGGTCTGAATTGAGATGCTGATTGATAATGGTCACAGCAGCCATGACTTTACTACTTGGAGCCAGCCTGTTTCTCTGTTTCTACTCCTCCTTTCTGTGGAGTTGCTGCATGTGACTGGGCCTACCTCCTCCTTGGGCAACGTGTCTCTGTGTGCTAGGCCAGGGCTTTGTACCTATTACTCACAACAGTAGGCTGCTGCCTTCTCTTTGTTCCTTTTCATGTGTGCGCTGGATCTCCACTTCTGCTGATGTGTCTGTTTGTCCATAGTTGGATCTTAGAAGAGATAAGGCTTCCTCTGATAGCGTAGGATATGTGGAGAAGTAGTCTCAGAAATATTGCTCAGTGTGATGATAGCTGAGGACCTAGGGACACCTAGGTTTGACACCTGGGGATCTTTTTTCCTGGGACTCTACTCAAGAAGGAGAGTGAGCCCCATTTCCATCCCAAGGAGATTCCCATCACTTAAGCTGTGACACAAAGGGGTGCACTTTTACACTCTGCTAGCAGTTTGAGTGTAGGATGGGAGCAGATGAGTCAAGGCAGGTATGTAACACTGAGTTGTGAAGACTGAGCAGTTGTGTTGCCCAGAGAGCACACTGTTACCCTCTAGATGAGAGGAAGGGCAAAGCCATCCCCAAAGCAGGATGATCCAGAGGTGTATTTTGAGAAGCTTCTCCCTTTCTCTCCTGAAACTACCATTTCCTTTATGAAACGACTTACCTCACAGTCTGGGTTTTGCTTTGCTTGGCAAATAGCTGCTGTGGTGGCTACTGTTTGGTGACTGCATGTCAACACATGGGATATCTGTCTACAGATTGTGGCTCTCGCTTCAACCACCTGTATGATGCTGTTGGGCTGTTCTTGTGCCATAAAAGTAGCGCAGCAGAACCACCACAGTCTCACTGAGATATGTAGAGCTAGTAGGACATGGCACCATCAAGGACTTCTGTGCCTGGAAAGGGCTGAGGGTTCAGATGGTCCATGTTGCCAAATGCTGCAGCAGTTTGTGGCTCAGGGTCCAGAAAGGGCATCAAGGTGTCTGAAATGCCTCTCGGTGACTGGCATTATGAGGGCTGGAAGGCAGAACAGAGCCTGGTTTTTTTTCCTGCCCTTGGTTCCATCAGAGTCTGTTCTGAGACAGGTGAACCGGACCTACAGTTTAGGGATCAGACTCACTAGACTGGAGGCATCATGTTGAGAATGGTTGCAGTCAAAGGCTCTCACCACAGCAGACACTCAGCTGCTGTCTGATAACTGCATACACTAGATGCATACACTGCATACATTGTTTTCTCAACCAGCTTTTCACCAGACTGCAAGAGAGAAATTGTTGCTGCACAACAAGAGAAACACAATGTAGTGGGACGTACTGCAGATAAATTTCAACTTGAGGTTAACCTTGCTGTTTCTGTGCTCTTTGCCTTTTCCATCTCCCTGTCATGAGAGGGGACATACTGGAGAAGCAGGGAATTCGGTATCATAACTACAATTCTTTTGTGTTACAGCCATCTCTAGCACAGCCCAGATTTTACAGGGTTTTGCAGTTGGTAGTTGTCACCTGAGAAGAGGGACAATCACTTTATTTTTAAAATGTATCTGCTGTTTGCAAATCCTTACACAAAAGGGGTCAGATGCTGTGCTTTCCTCACTCCTTGCTCCCTTAGACCTCCACAGATGACTTGGCCAAACACAGGGCTTTGTAGTTGCCACTGCAGTGCGCTGTATGAATTTTATCAATAGTAGTTGAGAATGGCTAAAATTGGAATTCTGGCTCCTTACAGCGCTGCTATGCTTTGCATAAAGTTGTTTGGGAAATTAAGTTCTGATTCTTTTATTTTTTTCTTCTTTTTCAGGTTTTTCTTTTCTTTTTTACTGTTCTACTTTCTCACTCAGTCATTATTCTGTCCTTGCTTTCTGCCACCTTTCAGGCTAGCATGCTCAGTTTATTTCTGCAACTGGTAAATCACTGCAAATCTGCCTAAGTTAGTAAACAAAATTGTATCTCCTGCAAAACAAAGTTGCAAATTAGATGATACTTGATTATAAAATTGCTTTATGTTGATGATTTTAACTGTACTCTGTGGGACAACCTCAAAATGCACCTCTTCACACAGCATGCCTGTAAGATTGGGCTGCAGTTACCACCATACACAAATATCTGGACTAAATTTAAGCAGGGATCTGGCATATTGATTAGATGGGGTAGATAAGTTAAATAATTTATAATTACTTTCCATATGTGAGCCTACGGAACAGCTTAGGGGTATAAATGAATCCTTTTCCCTGTTAGAGCAAACAGGAGATTGTCAAAAAAGCGATACTGCTCATGACTGTGCCAAGCCATCATCTGGCAGCGTGAAAACCACTTTGGGGCAGTATTCTACCAGTGCAGAAGAGAAAGCGACTGTGCTTGGGCAGAGGAAGGCACAGCCCACGGCTGGTTAGAAGTTTTCATTTTTCATCGAGACAGTGCTTGATAACTGGCACTAACAATTGTTAAGAAACTGCAATAGCAAAGAAGCCACAAAAGGGTGTGGGTTTGTCATTGGATTATGAGAAAGGTAAAAGTCTCATGGGATGCTAATCATGGTTCTGTCCCCATGCAAAATACATGGCGTGAAAACATTGCCAGACAAGAACTGTGCATGCATTTTTCCTTTGTGGCGACACCAGGCAGCAGTACTGTGCAGCTCCTGCAGCCCCTCAGCCAAGCGGGGTCCTTGCAAGCTCTGACTGCTGGTTGCAGTGGGGCTGGCACGCTGCCCTGTAAGCACGGGGCAGGCAGAGTCTCCGGTGCTCTGTGTGCTCATGTACCTTTCCTTCTTGAGGTGAGTGCGCTCAAGTATTTCGAAATACAGTTCAGCCTGAATATTGTTAGTGCCAGTTTCAGTACATCGCTCACAAAAGCATTTGAGAACTTAGTAGTAAATCAGCTTATTTTGACATAGTACTTTGCTTTTTGGCTGCATAAGCAAACAAAAAACCACCACAAGAACCCAAACCCAGCACTGTGCTGTGTGCTGCATGCTTAAGCCGTGCTTCCTGAAGAGCAGCTTTGACTGGCACTGAACTCAGTCAGTGGGCTATCAAAATGTTTGGTTGATCTGTGTTTTTAAAGTATAAAAGCTCCTGTTCTCAAATGGTATGTGTTTACATGCTTCTCTTTACCTCTTAACTGGTTTGTTGAAACAATGATTCAAAATTACTTTTTTTCTGAAGTTATTTAATGAGATATTTGAACATTTAATGCAGTTATGTTTACCCACAGTTTTTCTGTTTGTAAGACATCATGTATCCCTTTTGTAACATCCTCAGTCCAAAATGTATAAACTGATTTCCTTTTCATATTGTAGCATCAAACTTAGCACACCCAAACTTGGAATCTATCCTCCCCATATTAATCAAATTATTATATTTTAGCTTGTTTTAAGATAGCTCTCTGATAAAGTAAGTGTCAAAACCCAAGAAGCTACCACAGATCTACACAGGTCACCTGTGTATGGTTTCATTGGGGCAAGGGTAAGCTCTTGTGGCAGAAGCCTACTTGCAGTATGTGGACTTAAATGCCTGATATATTTCTCAGGTATTTTTGGGGCAAACTACCTGTCTTGGTTTATCAGGCCATAAACTAAAATGGCTGCTGCAAGTTGTGTTCTGGGTTTTGTTTAAAGAGTGGGGGCTCAAACAAAGGCCATGTAATTAGTAGGAGGTGCAAGTATCAAGAATGACTCCAAAATTTCCAGGTACCTATTTCTTTGAAAAGCAGTGGTGTTTGGGAAGGTGGAAACGCCTATATGTATTTTTTTTTACTGACTTTAGGTATCTTAATCCTCTCCAGTCCCATTAAATAGCTTTAAAAGCCTTTCTCAAAATCCTTTCCTCTTCTTTCTCAACTTGCAAAGCCAGGACAAGAATGCAGCAGGCATGTAGCTGCTGGCTCTCGTTTCCTCCCATATCTTGTCTACCAGAAATAAGGAAAGAAGTATTTTGGACTCAGGGGAATTGTTTGGGTAGCGAATGTGCTGTGTGTGCAGAGGTGGGTCTCAGCAAGACGCGTACTAGATGTGTCCGTTCTTTTGTCATGGCACAGATCCAGAGCTGGACAATGTCTGTGCCAAACAAAAATGAGCCAGAGCTTTCTGTCCCCTGTTTCACAGCCTGTTGGCCTGCACCAGCGCTGCCTGGGGAGTCGTGCTGTGTCCCCAGGGATACAGGGAGCATCCCTGCTGAGGCTGCCCCAGGGACTCGCCTCCCTCGGGACTCCTCTGCATTTTCCATGTCCCTTGTAGACCCTGTCACAGCCTGGCACAATTTGAAATGGCCACGGAGATGCATCAGTGACAGCCTGCTGCGTGTCTGTCCCTGCTGAGGCTGGAGCTGCGCACTGGTGACAGGGCAGGCTGTCCCTTGTGGTGGTGACACTGTGGGTGTGCAGGGAAGGAGAGGTGGTGCTCCATGGCCGCTGCCACTGCTGGTGCCCTGTGAAGAGAGGTGTGCACAAATGTGAGCAGGCACAAGGATCAGTGCAAGCCAAAGCCAGATGTCCTTATCTGAAATGGTGGAGCAAAGAAAGTCTCATAACTGTAACATTTAATTCTGTGGGGTTGAAGTGAGATGACTTGCAACAAAGTCACATTTAAGGACCAACTGTGTGTTTAAAGGTTCATTTTGATTGGAAGTACAAGATTTCTGAAGCTATCAATCCTGTGTATAGTAACCCTCTCTTGTTACCATAGCAATTTTAGACCACTGATTAGATCAGAAATGTTAACAAGGTTTTACAGCCGCCTTTCCATTTTATTTCAAAGCTTACAGGTTTGGGGCCTTACTGAGATTTGAGAGTGCTGGGTGAACAAAATAGGTACTGTTTGCTTTCAGATCGTGGGAAGTGGGTATGTCCTCCTGCTTTCTCCACTGCTGAGCACAGTGAGGTGCAGAGCCATGGTCTCAGCTGGAAGAGATGCAGCTTGGGCTCAGAGCTATGGGGTGTGCCCCCCATCAGGGAACAGGGAGGGCAGCGGGACCTGGCAGTGCTGGTGGGGCAGGGAGCGACCTTTTAGGTAACTTGGGTGCCAAGGTGTCTGTCCTGATTAAGGCTGCTGAGTCAGTAGACGTGTCCTGCCAGGGAGACGGGCGTGTCTGGGATGTGCGCCGCTGGTCTGAGGGGTGCCCAGCGAGGGTATCCACCTCAGCAGTCAGGAGTGCATCGTCTGAGACCCAGTTTGGCTGGAAAAAAGAATGCTGTTCTGGTTTTGAAGTGGTGTGATGAGAAGAATGGCTCCAGGCTGTTTCTAACTGTCCTGTTTATCCATGTCCTAGTGAAGTACTGAGTTTTCAATAGTTCAGGTTTGTCTTCTTGCCAACCAACAATGGAATAAAGTTTGCTCAAACTCTCTCTCTTCTCTCACCTTTTTCTGGCTTCAAGAATCAATGAAACTTTGCTATTCCCACTAGTGCAAAATAATTCAGTGGGAGCAGGAGCAGGTCCTATGTGCATGAATGACTTTTTATCACTATTATTTTTCTTCCTCTCTCTACTACGATCATTAGTAAGACCTATTTCTGTCTTATACAGCTGTGAAAAGAAGCCCTGGGCAGCAGTCTCATGAGTTCCAGGAACTGAAGCAGAGGTCCTTAAGTAAAGACGGCCATCAGGGAAGCAAGTCCAGTGACTCTGGCGAAGAAGCAGATAAAGATTTTATTTTTGTTTAGCAATCAGTACAAGTGCTTCATAGCGCAAGAGCTTTTTATAACAATCAGGGTACAGCAATCAACAGCCCTTCTAGCCAGCTGCTCTTTCACCACAGGTACATTTCTACACAGAAAACCTGATCTTCCAATCGTGATTTACAATACTCTCACTTGGCATTGCTGCAGTCCTTAATTTCTGTTCTGTACAATGCAGACGTTCCTTTCCATGCCTTTGCTAAAGCCAGCGGTTCTTTCATGTATTCTACTTGAATTTCTCTGAAGCAGCTACAGAGAGTGCCCTGCATTAGGGCATTTAGAAAGCAAAGCAAGTTTAACTGGACACTGTCTTACCCTAAAACACTGTACAGCAGGTAATGTGTTGTACTGCTGAATGTAAATGTGTCAGATCTGCACGTGACTTACCTATAAATATATTCTTGCGGTATGCAATTGCACATTGTAATTATATTAAAAGAGCACACTAATAAAATAATTTGTATAGATTATATATATTAAATGCTTGGGTATGGTTTTTACATTCTCCCATAGGGAGCTTCTTTCTTCCTGTTCTCGTACTGTACATAAAGCTCCAACGCTTACGTTTGTGTTCCGTCAAAAAGCACAACAGAGAAGGATTTGGATGACGTATAATCATGGTATGCTTCCATATTCATATATTAATGTATATAGTTGATTGGAATGAGGGCAATTGAGATTTTATTATTATTGGTGTTTTCTAGAGGCCTTCCTCAGTTCTGTCTGCATATTAGCTTCCTTTCAATGTGTAATTCTATGAGAAAACCAGTTTGACATCTGTAAAAACATTTCAGCTTTTGGGGGCGGGGCTGCAGATTTCACAGCTACCCACTTACAGGTTGAGGGGATTTTATTCATATGTATATTTGTAACAATAAAAATGATTTTACAACTGAAATGCTAATCTTTGTTTTTACTGTGCTATTTTTGGTCTAACGGTCTCTGCTTTTTAAATTATGACGTGTCAGGCAGACAAAGTGTGCAGTTAAGACAAAACCCTTATAATCTCTTCCTGCTTCTAATACACTGCCTGTTCCTGCTGTGAAAGGGACACACATATTGTCTTTGTAAAACTGCTGAAAGAAGATCTCTTTGCTAATGTCCTTTGTTGGGATCTTCAGCAAAGCAGCCTTCACATGAGCCAGAAACACCTGCTATCTAAATTCTGTATTTTGGTTCCATAGGACAAAACAAAATTGTTTTGATAACTTTCTCTGAAGAGCAATTGTCCTGACCTTGCTGTGGCTTCTTGCCTGGGTAGAAATGCTCAGATACCTGTCTGTCAAGTGACCTTCCATCTAATCCCTGTGCACGTATTTGCTATCACCACTTCTCCTATTGCAGTATAAAGGGCTGCTATGTCAAAACAGTAGCTTTTTATACCAGAACTCTTTAGAAACACTTTGTAGAGGTTTAAATCTCAACAGTAAGGTACAAGGCAGTGGGGCAAGACGTCCTGAAGGCTCCAGGTTCATACCTAAGTACCATGAGGTTTGCACTGTCTTGAAATTCTGCACTCATCTATAATCATGAAGAGAAAGTTCTTAGTTTTCTTATAATATATTCTTGATTTACTGGTCATCAGTGAGAATAAAAGAAAAATGGCAAAGGAAAACTTGAGGTGCTTGTATTAGAAAGGAAAAATAATCCAGTCATAGATGGTCCCCTGCAATTTTCATTCCCCTAAGACATGAAAAAGACAACAGTCTGAGAAGTTAAGTATTCAAGAAGGATTGCCTGATTTGTTGGTTTTGTGAATTTAAGACAATTAACAGCAAGGTTTGTATTATTAATGAAAAAAAATTAACTTCCAGCTGCTGAGAATTTCTCCTGAGTGTGCTTGATGTCCTTCTCACCAGTAACTTGAAATACTGGTCCTGCTGTGAGAAAGCACAGCAATAGGTGTGCCTGTCACCCTGGTACCAGTAAACCAAAGACAGGGGTGTCTGAAATGCTGCAGAGAAAGTATGTGTCTGTGGCAATGAACAGAAGAAAAGCTGTAGTGCTGTGAGAGTTGTCTGCTGGAGTACAAAGATTTAATTAGCCAGCAGTGTTTTTCTGTATTAGTTATGGAAAACCTTTCCAGATGGCAATCTTTATTCCACCCATCAGTGTGTTGTGGGCAGGCTGAGTGGTGGAGAAACGACTTTAGGGGAGTGCTAGTGTGAGCTCTTGGAGACTTGGGGATTGTGTTTCTGTGCATGTGTGGTTTTGGGTGTGGGGAGGAGCCATAATTTTTGTTGCTTTACTGTCTTTCTGCCTGGTGAGCCCAGCACCGTCAGCCCGATTGCAAAGAATTCACATTTTGTTAGAGCACCCCCGTTGTACCTCTGCTGCATTTATAAACCTGTGACTTCTCCTGCTCCATGCATGTTGCACTGGGTGTCTGAGGTTCTCTGTCCACCCCCTCCTCCTCCTTCCTCCCGCAATGAAACTCACTGTTTAGGCCGATGGTCGTCTTTTGTTCGGGTCAATGGCCTCTGCTCCAGCTTCTCTCCACCTTCTTCTTTTCAGGACAGTTCTTCCCCTCACAGATATGGATTCACAGAGACATTTATTGCTGATTAGCTGAGCCTGGGCTGGGGAGGGGTACACCTTGGAGCCACGGGAGCTTCCTGAAGCTTCTCACAAGGTGGCCACTTCCCCCACTATCAAAAACGCCCAACACAGGTGCCAACGGCAGAAATCCCTGGAGCTCCTGGGAGGCTGAACAGAGAGACCAACTAGTGGTACCACTGAAGAAAAGTGCTATTACTTGTTCTCCCAGGGCATCCATAGCATTTTTCAGTATCACTAATGCTCTGTTTTCCTCCCAGTCCCACACTGGCCGCTGCCTGAGCACCTCTAGCCATACCACCACTGGTGGGAGCAGGGGTTGGGGCTGGAGGAGAGGCGGCTTGCTCCCAGGCACGCTACCGACCTTCCTCTTGGAGCTGAGGGCATCTCCGCAATGCCGTGCTGGGCCATCAGGTCACTCAGAAAGGGCTCACAGAGTCTTGCTGGGAGTTTGTCTGACACGATGGTTTTGTCCCTGGACTGTGACTGGTCTCAGGCAAGACAGCAGCTGCATGTTGCACATGCTGGTTTTGGAGGTGATGGTGAGGAAGTTGCAGCATCTGAGGTGACAGTGAGGTCCTCTGCATCCCTCCATGCACACAAATGTGTACTGTATGACTAAACCAGAGCAAAGGACCCAGCAGCCCTGATCACCTGGTTAGAAATGCTGCCCTGGAAGGGGTCCTAGCACCAGCATGTCTACTCAGATCCACACCTACCTGATCCGGCCTTGGGAAAGGGGTGAGAAGCTCTCGGAGAGAGCTGCCCTGCCCTTTTCTGCTCCTAAATCTGGTTTTCAGGTTTTGTCATTGAAGAATATCACCTGTGATGTACATAGCAGGAGCATCTCCCCATCTGAGACGTGCTGGAGAAGGGCTGTGGCTGCCTGCCTGGCTCCAGCGTGAGCTCAGCTCTATATCGCTTCTTCAGGACCTACTTCCCCCTCTCTACTGAAGGAGTTTAAAATCTGGCTGATAGATTTTGAGCATTTTAAAGTACTCCCTGATGTGCAATAACAACAGTAAATAGCTGCTTCCTAAGATGGAACCAGCAATTGTCTTAAATCCACCCCCTCCACCAGCCGGGCTGAGACGATTTGGGAATTAATGTGGCCCATTAGTCACAAATCTGCGCGACCCACCGCACTTAACTGAGAGCTGCCATCAGCACGGGCTCTTGCTGCTGCTGCTTATTACTTGATTAATGTGGAGATGATTTCTTTCTCCTGTTGCACAGAAAAAAAGCTACTGAGAAGCGTTTTCTAGGAAAACACCAGAAAGCTCTGCTCCTGTTTGAACCGCTGCTTTCCCATGGTCATTCGAGAGCCGTGCTGCTTTCCCTGTGCTCGGCGATGCTAATGCTGGGTAGGCTGTCCCCAAATCCCGCCTCTTGGGATTATCCTCTGCTTGTTCTGAAGCAGGTAGTGACACCGTCCTTTGCTTCTCCAGGAGCTGTGGCCCAGAGGATCTCGAACAAATACAGCGCAGGTGGGTGCCAGGGGTTATCATTTCATGCCAGGCCTGGAAAGCAGAGAGGGCTTTCCCCGTCTTAAATCTGTGAATGGGGAGGATGAAAATTGCTACATAAATAGAGGGCAATGACCTTCTCTTTCCATCAATGGTAGGAGGTGACCAAACCCAGTTGCCTGAATGATTCCCTCTAAGTGCCATTAGCGCTTGCCCCCTCCCCACGAGCCCTTTCCCTATCTCCCGGCAGACAGCTGCCGAGCCGGTGCCCACGGCCATGCTGCCCTGCCCATGCCCAGCCCAAACCTCCTAACTCCTCTGGATGCCCCAGTGGCATTGCCAGAGCCACACAATCACAGAATGGTAGGGCTTGGAAGGGACCTCTGGAGATCATCTAGTCCAACTCTCAAAGGTTGCAGACTGTTCCCAGGATAATTAAAATGCCTTCAGTTGGTCCCATAAACATTAACTCATGTCCTGTTCAAGGGAGAAAAGTGCTGCCTTGGGTTGGCCTCCACTTCTCCACTCCGAATATAAGAGATCATAGGAAGATCTGCCAGACACCTTCCCAGCCTTCCTCTTCATCCCTCTGCCCATCCTGCAGCCCCTCATGCCTCTTCCCAACATGAGGGTCCTGCCAGCACCACCGCAAGTGACTCTTCACCAGAGCCCCCACCTGTGTCCAACATTTTCAATGCCATCATGACCACAGGCGGAGCAGGACCTGGCAGCGGCCAGGGTGACTTCCCTGGCAGGCAGAGAGGGATATGTTCATTTTTGGTTGAGAGCTACCAGCTCTGCTGAACAGCCAGGGCTTCCTGGCCCTCAGGCCACGACTGAGCGTCACTTCAGCAGGTACTGCTGGCGGCTGATGGGCTAAAACAGTGCTCTGAGCATCGCACATGGAAATCTTCTTTGCTCCCAGTGAAACAGTTTCCCAGGTCTGAACAGCAATTTTCCAGCCCTGAGGATTTGCTGGCAGCATCAAGGCTTCAGTGGATTTGGCTGAGGGACTCCTGTCATCTTGTGTTGCCCTCTCATACCATGTCCTAATCCCTTGAGACACAGAAAAGGGTGGAAAACTATATGGAGCACCTCAGCTGCAGACTTGTCCTCATGGGACTGCTCCTCATCCTGGCACGTGGGCAGGCCATAGCAGGGGCAGAAGGGCGGTGGGGTGTCGAAGGCAATACTTCATACTGGAGGCAGTGTTTTGTTTTAGTCATTTGTTTTGGCTATTTATTTATTTATTTGTGGTTATTCTGAGACATGCTGGAAGGCTGACATGCCTGGGTTGTCCTTCTGAGGCTCTGAGAGGGGGAGCTAAGAGGTGCCAGCTTCAGCAGGGGTTCCTGTGCTGAAACCCAGTGGTAACTGGCAAAGGATGTGGAGTCATGTGTGATGTTCTATTGGGAGCTTCCTGGCAGGGTTTGCGTGCTCAGGGACCTGGGAACAGGCACCTGAATGGGGTCAAGAAACGCAAAATGAGGTCCCACTCTGAGCTGCTGGGCAACGTAACAGTTGAGGGGCAGAAAAGCTGATGGCAAGTCCCTAGAAAGCAGTGTGGTTAGGCCGTGCCCAAGGGTCCCTGGGGGATGTGGGACAACCTGGAGGCTCTGGCATCAGACACAGTGAGGGGAGAGGAAACCAGGGCTGGTGGCAAGAGGCACGTGTGGCCTCGGATGGCCGGTGCAGAGCAAGGGCAGAGCTCTGGCCCCTTGTGTGTGTCTTGGAGGAAGGGAAAAGAAGGAGGGGATCAGCTTCTCTGTCTGCCAGATTAAATTAAACCTTTTAAAAACAATTCTTTTCCTCTGTGTCCAGGACAGAGTTGTTGGTTCTCCATCAGCACGGAGCCAGGGACAGGCTGGTCCTTGTG